AAAATCCAAGGGGCCCTGGAAATGGCTTCCGGAAAGGAGCGAACATTGCGAAATGTACGATTTTGCTGCTTTTCTGGTGTTCCCCTCATTTGGGCCCCTCGGCGGTTGCGGCTTTTGTGGGGCCTTCATGGCGGTCGTAAGCGAGTTGATGCCATAGTCTCTTCGAACCGACAACGCGCGTCGCATGTCGCGAGGCTGCTGCACTGACTACAACGGAACCGTTTTGTCCAAGGACGTGCAGGCGGAGTTACAAGGTTGCCTGCTTCTGCAGCTGTTATCAAACCTCAAGTGTGCGGCGTCTAGACATGCGAATCCCCAAGCAAAGCGTGCTCTAGCAAAGCGTCTTCACATGTTACTGCGATCAACATTTCTCTGGGGTCTCGATCTGTACACTGTGCATCCGCCATGCTGATCGCTTTGTGATGTATATACTGTACGAAGCCGGTCTGGCTTCAGTCGGCTCTCATCATCCTGTGTACAGCAGTGAGGAAGATGTCAGCCCACTCATCGACTGTCTTATCTTCTTCAGCTGGGTTAGGTAATGCACGTCGCAATGCTGGACGTCGTCGCAATACATCGTCGTAGTAGCCGAGGATGAAGTTGTGCGACGCCTCCCGGTCATTTTGAGGTACAAGACGAAGGAGAGATCGAACCACGTAGAGCTGATGTTCCCATGCACGCTTGCTCAAGCTTTCGTCGTGAGCAGAAGGAAGGAGACGATGAAACGTCGGATGGGTTTCAAAAGTAGTTGCGTGCATGGCGATCAAAAGACGAAGTGCCGTCTGGCGATGAGTAACCACAGTCTGAGTTGCATGTCCTCTTGTAGCCGCAGTTCTGCTTATGTCCTTTATCCCAGCCACGGCATCGATCACTCGCAGCTTGTCCAGAAAAGTACTTACCCACGCAGAAGCTGCCGAAGGGTTCTGCTTAAACGACATAGTCTCTGGCAGGTCGTCGATCAAGTAATCTTCGTCCTCCAAGACCTCGGCATAAACCCTTCGAGCATCGTCACGCAAACGGGCGGGATCCGGCGCTTCGAGAGATAGGAGCAGCGTCTGTGCTCCGTGCATTCGACGCTGCCACGAGTCTTGGCTTGGGTGACCGTCATGCGGGTCCGGCAAGAGGAAATGCGCCGAGGGATAGCGTGACAGAACACTTCTATGTCGGTGCTGTAGCTCGCGAAATTGATCCAGGCGTCGGGCTCGCAGTTGCTCTCCTAGGCTTACTCGCGCCTCCATCCGCGATGTCATGGCAAGACACGTCGAAAGGCTGCTACACTGACTACGACGAAACTTTTCGGTCCAAGGACGTGCAAGCAGAGTTATAAGGTTGCCTGTTTATGCAGCTGTTGTCAAAACACAAGTGTGCGGCTTCTAGGAATACGAGTTTTCTCGCCGGGCAGTTTGGCGGGGTGTCTTCACATTTTATCGTGATCAGCATTTCTCATGGGTTTCGATCTGTACACTGTGCATCCGCCCATGCTGATCGCCTTGCGATGTTGCGACGAGGCTTGATACCTGTCGCTACACCCCAGCCGCAGGCGTAAAATGATGAGGCGTCACATGCCCTATGAACTTCCAATCCTCATCTCTTTGTACACGTGACAGAGCGACGTAACCAGCAGCCTCGACGTTTGCCTTGTCCAGCCAGAGGATCACGCGCGAGAGTGTCGCCCCTTGTACTTTCACGAGAGTGGTGGCATATCCAAGACGCAGTGGCAAGCAGGTGCTCCGGCACTGTGCTCCGCCGATCATCACTTCCGTGTCGGTGATGGGGAAGACTGTCAGGATTCGACCAGCTTTCGTGCGCACGACGACTGTCGTGCCTCGAACGGCAACCACAGTTGCTGTCATGCCATTCACAAACCCGATGCCTTTGTTGACATTTCTGGTCAAGGTGACGTGCATGCCAAGGTAGATCGGTAGATGCACGGGCTGGCAGTCGACAAGTTGTCCATACTGGTCGTAGTTCTCCAAGTTGCTCTCGTAATCGGCAGGTACTACAGCACAGGGTCGTTCGTCCTTGAACAGAGCTTCCACGGCTAAGTCGTTGAGAACCGATGCCGCCCGACGCGTCACTGTCACGAAAGTAGCATCTGGCCATTCCCCCAGCATCCCTTCCATGTCGAGGTTGGTAGGTTCCGGGCTAAGTCCGGGCCCTCTGTCGGGCATTGCCCGATGCCCTCGAATTATGCGGTGCAGCTGCTCTCGGGAAGGCTTGGCCGTGCGGAGGAGCTCGAGTTTCCACTTCAGCTCTGCACACTTGCAGCGCCTCATGGTTCGCAGATGGCGCTTCACCACATGTTGCCAGCGTGGGCTGTCCGTTGCTCGTGTGCCGTCCATTCCCCGCAGCTGATGGAAGTCGCCAACGAAGATCAGGGCTGGCCTTCGGTCGGCGTTGTCCCACAGCCAAAGGATCCGCTCGAAAGTTTTCTGCGACAGTTGGCCGACTTCATCAATCACCACCATATCGTAGTTGGCCATGCATTCCCACGTGTGGTGCTGCTCCTTGTGGAGGAGGAACATGCCGTGCAAGGTGTCAACATCAAGATCTGGAAATTTCTCGCGATAGCTGCTGGCCAGCATTCCTGTCGGGCAAGCGATACCCACGTGAGCACCTGCCTCCACGGCCCGTTGAATGGCGACTTGTACGCAAGTAGATTTTCCACTGCCTGCAGGCCCCAGCACGCACAGCGGCTTGGCGTTGCGAGGCCGCTGGCTTTCTGGTCTTCCAAGGTACTCTTGCAGAGCTTCTGCAGTGGCTTCGTCGGGATACCGCCGGCGAAGTGCCCACATGACCATATTCTTGATGTTCGCGAGCGCCGCAGCTTGTTCGGGCTCGAGCTGGCCACGAAAGCCCAGCTCTGGTGCCGCCACATGCTCGGCTGCCGGATGCGGATCATCTTCCAGCCTCAAGGATCCCAACAGGTAAGCCTTGATGATGGTCGTGTGGGCCACCAGCATTTGGAGGATGTTGTTCATGGGCGCTTCCCGATAGCCGGCCAGTTTGAGCTGTTCACGCACTTGCAACGGCCGCTCCCATAGGCCTGGCTTCTTTAACAAGCAAAGGGCCAGCATGCGGTAGCCTTCGGGCACTCGTTCCACACGTTCGTCCCACAGCTCGTCCACCTGGCGGAAAGGAATGTTCAGGACGAGCCACTGTCCATAGAACTCGTCGGTCATCCGGCTTCTCGTCAAAGCCGCCACCAGCACCCTGCGTTTGTTCTTGCGCTTGCTTCCGTTCTTGTTGCTGAGGCGCAAGTACTGCAGGAAGCTGTGGTCTTCGCGGCGCCAGGTGCATTTCATGTAAGCCTCCAATTGACGGTCTGGCCACTCTTTCCATGGAATCTTGATGCTTACCCGCTTCACGATCCCCGTCATGACCACCTGCCGGAAGGTCTGACCAGCCAGTTGCAACCACATCTCGGGCTCCAGGGGATGGTACTCGGAGAGGATGCGCCGTGCCAGATGATAATCCGTGGCTTCTTCATTCAGCCAACTTGTGGCGAATTGGTCTGAAAACTTCGCACTGTAACTTGCCGCATACTGAAGCAGAAGCTCACGGCCATCGCCAGTCTGGACGTCCATGTGGCAGCACATCGCCCCCAGGACGTCCGGCATCCAAGCTCGGACGTTTGCAGCCTTGGCGTCGGCCGGATGCTGCAGCAAGATGCGGTTCTGTTCCGAATCGAACTGAGTGGGTGCTTCGCGCAACGGCCAAGCGCTGTCGTCCCAGTCCAGCCACGAAGCTCGGGCTCTTCACGCGGCAGGTCTGCTCGCAGAATTCGTTGCCAAGGAATGGCCTCGGGGTTGTCGAGCCACACCAGCAAGTGCAGATGAGTGCGGCCCGATCCGTGATAGCTCTGAGCTGGTCCGACATGACGTTTCCGCTTGCCATCCTGAAACTCCAGCCTGCCGAAAATCTCCTTCACGGTCTTGCGATCTGGATCTTCTGCCGCCAGAACGTGCTCGGTCCACCTGCGTCTCTTCGCTGCTGCTTGCCGGTTGGTACCCGAGATGAGACCTTCAGCGACCTGTAGGAGAAGATGGGCGAGGTGGAAGGTTTCGGCGGCCGGCAAGTTGGTGCGTGTGCGGAGCATTTTGGACAGCTCGTCCTCGATCCAAGCATGGTACGGTGCCGAGGGTTCGTAAGGCGCGATCGTAATGAACAGATGCGGAAAGCCGATTTGCTGCACGCAGTCGACCAGCCCTTGATGTAGCGTTTGCCAGTATGCAGGGGAAAACGTCTTGCTCGCCAGCGCTCCCCGCAGCGTCGTGCCTTGGACGTGCTTTGCCGCACCGAGCGAGCTCCAGAGCCACAGATCGTACACGAACTGGCTCAGCTCGCGATCAGCGCCGTAGCCGATCACGGACGAGAACACTTTCGCCAAAAAGCTTCCCTTGGCGCTGTGGCGCTGTTTCTGTTGCCCACCCGTCGGCTCCCCGATCTCGGGATCTTCCGACCTGTCCGAATCCGAACTCTCGCTCATGTTTGCTGCGACTGCGTTCGGCCTGCGGTTTTGCCGTCGAATGTCTTGACTCCGGATGAAAGTTTCACACATGTTGGTGGTCCAATAGAGATGCGGCCACACTGCACATTCGAGGCCAATCGTCTCCATGAAGTTCATTGGCAGGAACGGGATGGGTCTGTACGGATCCACGTCTCCTGCAGCGATATCGCGCTTCCTGCGGCGCAGAAAGCTCGTGTGTGCTTTCAAGAACTCCGAATAGGAGCTGTCCGCGCAACTGATCAAGTACTCGTAAGCCTTTCGGCCTCGTCTCCAGTCCGGTTCTTGCAAAGCTGCAAGGCGCTCTTCCACAGTGCTTTCTTCCCAACTAAAGCGCGTGGCTGCTGTGTGCACGTGGTAGCCTTGGAACGCTCGTTCCGGCCTACCGATGTTGACCTGAAAGAGGCGCAGTGCCTGCACAACGGGTTGCGATAACTTTCGCAGCGGCTTAGGAATTTCTGCAGGTGTCGGGGCCCAGTATCCAATGCCTTTCTGGCAGTATCTGCATGCCCGGATCATGGCACTGGCCTTGCACCTGGAACGAGCCATGGCAGGTCGAAACTTGACGGGCTGCAACCGCTCACACTGCGAGCACATCGTCCAGGCGTAGTACTTCGCGAAGCGGCTGAAAGCTGCTGCCAAGGGGCTTTGCCAAGAGTCCGGCACCGACGAGAACGCCACCGGAAATTTCCTCGTCAGTGAAATTTGGGCAGTCGCCATTCTCTGTCGATGATCTTCTTCCTCCAAGTCCGTGAATTGCGCTTGTGATCTTCGTCTGTCCAAGCAAGAGTTCCATTCTTGTGCACGCGACACCTGTGCAGCACGTCTGCGAGCTGCAGCCTTCTCCTGAGCATTTCTGCCGCGCGCGGCCTTCTTTCTATCCTGATGTTTCCGCAAGCGCGACAGACATCCTCCGAGCATGGCATCTCCCGCAAACTGTCCAATACGATCTTGAGCTGCACTGAAGATGCTGGCATCGTTATTACGATAGAAAACCAAGGCAGACGTAATTGCTCCCTTGCCTCTGGCGGTTGCGAGAAGCTTCCGCATCTCGGCTTCGGAGCAAAACGGACACGCAAGACTTTTCTCTTTACTGAGCCGGGCCCTGCTACCACTGCGTAACTGACTGAACCTGCACTCCTGCGCAGGCATGCCGGGGCAGAACCGATGGCTCGAAGCTCCGGACGGTCCGGATGCTCCGGACGCTCCGGACGCTCCGGACGGTCCGGAGACTCTGCTTCCAGATCTTCGGTTCGGTCGGGCGGCAGGGCGTCGCAAGACGAGTCTGCGTCGCAGTGGGGGTGCACGACCCGGCGCTGCTCGGACCATGAGTGTCGCAGGGTAGGACTACGACTAGGAAAGCTTTGCTTGATCTGTAGAGTTATGGCTGCTGCAACCAACTGGGCGATCAAAGACGCAATCGTGCGTGAGTCATGGCATGTCAGTATGCACGGTCTCGCTTTTTACCATGACGGAAGCCACACATTGGCCACTTCTGTCGGACTCGCCTACGGAGGCTATAGCCGAAGTAAGACACTTGAGACCTCACTGCACCCAGCTAGCTCAGCTAGGATTGTCGTGAGGACCTCAGTGTGCAACTGCTAACAAGTAGTTCCGGTTAGCCGGCACATGGAATCCCGTGCTCCTGCCTCTATAATCGCGCTTTCATGGCTTCAGCGTCCTTGTCTTCGGAGCATCTCCTTCTGGAGAGACACGTCTAGCTGCACGGACATTTGCGTTTCCAATCGGCGCCACACCTGCTGCTGCCTGGCCTTGTGGTGGAAAGAGAACCGTCAGAGGTCGCTCGTCGTCGGAATCAGTTGCTGCTACCTGTTCGCACTAGATATAGACACAGAACACCTTGCTAGACAAGTGGCTGATTATATCCCTCCTGCCTCGGCAGGAGCTTGTCGGAGAGCTTCTGCAGGTCGTGGCTGTGCCTGTAAGGAGGCTCGAAGACCGCATCACGTTGCCAAGGAACTTGTACTCGAAGGCCCCCGCTCCTCAGACCACGGCTCCTTGTACCGGGCCCTGTCCGTCCAGCCCAAATAGGACACGTGAGACCTCACTGCACCCAACCAGCTCAGGGTTGTCGCGCAAGACCTCAGTGCGCGACTGCTAACAAATAGTTCGGGGGGCCCATGCATGGAATCCCGTGCTCCCGCCTCTGCAGTCGCGTCGTTCAGTTGGAGACCTCTCGCCAGAAGTCGACATACCAAGATTCTGGCCTCGCATCGCAGTTGCGGGATGTGGAGACTCGACACGATTAGTGAGTCGAGCCTTCGCAGCCCGTGCAACGGCGCCGGGCTGTAGTGCAAATTTCTTCACGAACACACCATCCTTGCAGACGCCCTGACATGGCACGGCCGCATGTAACAAGCGACTACGCTGTCCGTGCAACATGCAAGAAAACGATTCTTACCAAGCGCCCGACGTGCGACTGCTCGCAGCATTTGTGCGCCTGGATTTGAGTGACACTTGCATGCTATGTTGCCAGCAACCAGCACCAAGCCTGCCTTCATACTTGCAGTTTTACTTTTTGTGACTTTTGTCTTCACTTGAGCCACACCCTTCCAGCATTCGAAGAAGTCTCCAATTGTTGTCTGCTCGCTACACTGCTAACCGCACTGCTCCTTGCAACTGCTCTCCTAAGACACTCGCGTTCTCGTACTCTGTTTTATATCTCCTGGCCGCGCACGCACTGCAGCGGTCTCAGGACCCGCCCTCTTCCTCCGACATCTCCATTTCCACCTCCTCCAGGGCATCATCTAACCTTGGACACGGGGATTGTTTCAGGCGACTGCTGGGGACCAACTGTGCTGGGTCCCGGGCACTTCGTCCAACGACCGCTTTTCCCAGTTCCTTGCTGCACGGCTACTTACAAGAGCTCGATTCTGCGACTCCGGCTGCCGAACTATATAATGCTAGGCGCCCGGCTTAAGGATTTCTTGCGCATGCTTATACACCCGGCTGTTTGGGTGAAAGCGGACCAT